CCATGTGCTGTGGCTGTGTGGGCATACATAAACTTGAATTCAAATCTGGGAGCTATCCTTTCTTACCCAAGTGGCTCTAGCCTAAGGTCCCTAAGGCTCAGTTTTTCTGGCCATGGGAACTGAAGCTACAAACAGACCACAGAAACACAAAGAAAGAAATGGAGATGTAGGGTCAGCTGTAACTGATGTTTATTCTGTGTGTACTACAGCCTACACTATACTACATACTCACTGCTCTCTCCTTCAGTCCCCATAGCACCCTAGGGAGTGTCTCCCCAGTTATGCTGGTAAGTGTGAGGAAGCTTCCCCAAGAGCACTTAGCTAAAGTCTGTGTCACCTGGGGGTGAAGGAACCCAAACCCACACCTTACATTCCAAATCAGGGCTCTCTGCCAGACTGCCTTGTACTCATGAGTACCTTCTCACCCAGCTCGGGGCTTCTAAATGCGAGTTGTCTTTAAGGCCAGCTCAGACATCTCCTCTTCCACCAAGCCTTTTCTGATTTCCACAGCCAGGACTCCTTTCTCCAAACTCCACTTTCTCCTTGTAACTAAGATAATGTCACAACCCACTTGCTTTCTGGATGGCATATATCTGACCCGCATTGTACGTTGTGAGACTGCTAGGAGGAAGCTCCAGGGGTCTGCATTTGCCTCCCGTTCCCACTGTGCTCATCCAGTGCTGTGGTACATGTTAAGTAACTGTTTAGAAGTGAATGAGTCAGTGAATGGATGGATGGGTGGATGTGTAGATGGAATTCAATATGCACAGAGAACCATAAGACTATTGCAGTAGACTAGGATAACATCCATCTTTATTAGGAGAAATGATGGGGAGACTATCATGCAATCCCCCTGGTTAAGGCTGTAAAGAAAAGAAGAAAATAATGCATGGGTGTGCCTTGGAAAACCTTCCCTGAGGAAACACAAGCTAACAAGTCAATGTGAGTGAGGGAACACTTCTAAACCAAATGAACTCAGCGACTCAAACAGAAGTAAGATGGGATGGATCTGTCACTGAGAAGCAGCTTCGAGTTATTAGATGCTCAGTTGAGTAGGCAAGAAAAGCCCACCCACCCCACCCCACCCCACTCCACATGCCCTCCAAAGAATTTTTCTATCTTTCCCAAATCCAGTTACAAATCAGTCCTATCCCTCTATGCCTATTGGATATTACCCTCTGCATATGTACCACCCCTTTGAACAGGCAAACACTTTTAGAAGCCTATTATGGACTAACTTTTCAACAACTGAAACAACAAGGCTTAGACAATCCCTCCCTTCTATCAGCCCAAGGAGCAATTTATGACTGCTTTCCCAGTTCTTGCTAATGCCACCATGCTCTAAATCATAGCCACAGGCACTGAGCTCTGCAACACTTGGCCATCACTGGTACCCAAAGCCTGCACAGGGTCATCCCACGTGCTGTGCATTTAACAGCACCTAAAAGTTAAATCCTAGGCCTGCAGAGGACAGAGAAGGAATGTGAGTTTTGGCTAAACCATAGTGGGTTTGAATCCAAGCCCTAGGAGTCACTTAACTCTGTAAGCCTCCATCCCAACCTGGAAAGTGGGGATAGTAACAGCATATTGGTTCTATCCTTGTAAGCATTGCCAAAAGCACATGTGAAATGCCTATCTCAGTGCCAACATGGCAGAACGACTGTAAAAGCACCAACATACATTATAAACACCAGCTTCCCCAAATGGGTGATTTTCCACCTGCCACTCATGTTTTCCAAGACCCCATTCATGCCTAGGCATATGAATTCTGTGAGGACTGAGATAAACATCAGCAAACAGAAGGCACTCCGCAAAGGCCCCTCCCACCGCAATTGTCCATTCTGAATATCTGCTCGCTCCTCTTTCCCGGTCTTCTAGCACCCACTGGCCTAGACTAAGAGCAAAGAAACTGCACACCAGCCCTGTTTCTCCCTTGACTCTTGCTGAGCAATAGCCCTTGAGATTCTGGAAGTCAGGAGAAAAATGATGCTACATCAGTGAGTCATCGCTCCAGGCCTGTCCCTAAGCTGCCTCCTGAAGCAGAGAACTTACTAACACCAAGACAACCAAAGACAGCAGAATGAAACCTTAGGATGAAGTGGGCCATCGCAGTGAGGAGTAGGCTGTACATGTAACTGAAAGTGGGGAAGACCGTGTGAGACATGTAAACACTGCACAGGCCTTTCTCCATTTCTACAGCTGTAGACGGGGGCATGTCGCTGTTCTGGGTATGTGTGCTGATGTTGGAGCTCCGAGTGAAGGCTGCTATATGAAAATAACTGATCATTAGAGCGGTAATTTCCACCTCAGAATATAAAGCTATTACCTGTGGTTGTATATCTTTTTATAAACTATGTCTAGAATTAGAGAAGGATTGAATAAATAAATAGTCAAAATAAGACCAAACAGAGAAAATCATCTGGAAAACCTATCAGACTCTACACAGGGCATCTTTCATCATTTTTATATTTCAGTTTTTTTAAATTATTATGTTACTTCAAGTATAGCGTTTGACCTAATTATACTTGTAAATGCTTCTAATATCAATGGGCACAAGCTAATTGATGCACTCCAACAGGTTTTTTTTCTTTCCCTGAAATCAGTTTGGTTTTATGCATAAACACAGAAAAGGTGTCTGTACTGGTCAGCTCTTGAAAAGTAGTCCAGGTCAGGGTCCACCTCCCTGGACCCCGAAGACTTGACCTCAGAAAGTCCCTCGATGGCTCAGGTCATAGATCTTGGTGCTGTGTACCTTATTCATTTCTTTTCTTTTGTGTCCTGAGGACATATGCTGGGACTTAGGGTTGGCCTCTGCTACCCATCTCAGTATCAAGTATCTCATTTTCTCCTAATTCTGAAGATACATTTTGTTTTGGTTTATTATTTTTTGAGACAGAGTTACACAGCCCAGGCTAAACTCAAAGCCACTATGTAGCAGAAGATGACCTTGAATTCCTAGTACTTTCACCTCTGCCTTCCCAGTGCTGGAATTACAAGTGTAATTCTAATTAACTGTAATTCCAATTCTGGCTTCCAATTCTGCAGAAAAATGACCCAATCACTTTTGCTTTTTCAGCTTACAAGACAGAAGCCCACCTACCTCCCAGGACCTCACAGTCACTGTCCATGCTGTCATGTACACCTGCGAAGATGTTGGCCAGGGTGGACTTGCCTACCCCTTGCTCCCCTATAAGCACCACTCGGTAGTAGGTGTTTCCTGACTCAGAGGAGATGACAGAGTCTGTGGAGTCGGAGGACCAGCTCTGTCGGCAGTGGTCTTCAGGAGTGGTAGAGCGGCAGCTGCGGAGGTTCCAAGGGTGAGGATCCTTCTGGACCATCAGATGCCTGCCATCAGCAGGGATGCTCCAGCGCTGCTGTGGCTGCATGCCCACAGTGCCCTGGCGCATGGTGACATTATTCAGAGTCATTGTGGGGTCCTAGGAAGCAAAGCAGTCAAGATGCCAATATTAGCAAGGATGAGCTAGGCCCAAGGAAGTCCAAATACTGTTGTCAGTGGCATTCCATTTGATTGGTATGGATTAAGCATCCTTTTTTTTTTCTTTTTTTTTTTTTTTTTTTTTTTTGGTTTTTCGAGACAGGGTTTCTCTGTGTAGCTTTGGAGCCTATCCTGGCACTCGCTCTGTAGACCAGGCTGGTCTCGAACTCACAGAGATCCTCCTGCCTCTGCCTCCCGAGTGCTGGGACTAAACGTGTGGGCCACCAACACCCAGCAAGCATTCTTAATATAAGGAGCACCCATGAAGCAGTCCCCAAGGCCCTAGCATGCAAATCTTACACACACACACACACACACACACACACACACACACATACACACGCAGCTTCTTAGGCAGGCTGTCATTTGCATTTCCAATAACATCACCAACTGCCTATAAGCAACCTCCATCCTTAAAGAAACTTTGAAAATCCCACTGGGAGGTGGCACAGAGGCAGCTGGAAGGAACCCACTGCCTCCAGAAATGGCTTTACCATCAGCAACAAGTCAATGTTGCTGGGGACCAGCTGGCCAGGTTAGCTGCTCTTGTCTAAACATGGCTCTTAATTGCACCAGCGTCTTGGAGCTTTTGGGGCCTCAGTGGGAGGCACGTGGCAATGACATCACTCCCCTGGCTGGACCGGACAGGCACTTTGGGGGAACTTCCATGTTTAGTAAAGTTGCCCTGATGTTCTCCATCTGCCTGAAGAGAACATTACTTGGGAGTGGGGCAGTTTGTGTTTAAGGTTTATGCCTTACCTCTGCCCTCTTGCCCACAGATACTGTTTAGCATACTAGCCCTGAGCCTAGTCCTTCTCACACTGGCAGGACCTGCTCACATTTGCACACATCAACTTGTGCAGAAAGGGCTTCATTCTTAACGAACCTCGTCTACACCAAAATTTATTTAGTTAGCTCAATGTTCCACCCTCTTGAGGTAAATCAGAAGGTCAAAGACTCAACGAAAAGACACTCAACAACTTCTTACTACTTTCTCCTTGCAACACCTCCTAACTTGACAAGTCTGTTCTGTCAAGTCTTCCCTAGAGAACACAGAAGCAGTTAACTCAG